GAACAACGACAAATGGAGGTCATGGCGAAGAGGCAACTGATATGGAGTAACAAATGCGACAATTTATGCAAGGGTTTGGTGGAAATCAAAACTTTCATGGTCAAGAGCAGGATGACGAAAGCGAGGATGATTTTGACATTGACAATTATACCAACCAAGATGACCTTGTAAACTTAATTTTTCATTTATTTATTCACGTTTGAATTTGTGTACCATACTAATTAATTAGTTCTTAAATTTATAATTTTAGTTTATTAATTTTATTATATTAAATTTAATATATCGAATCTATTATATATAAAATTTATTAAATATCGAATTTATTATATATTAAATTTCTTAATTTGATTTATTATATATTAAATTTATTAATTTAATTTATTATATATTGAATTTATTATATATTAAAGTTATTAATTTAATTTATTATATATTGAATTTATTAATTAATATTATTAATTTAATTAATTATACAAAGAAAAACAAATCTAGTTATTAAATTTAAATTTAAAAAAAAAAAAGCTGAAGAAAGACGTGTGTCACACGTTTTGATTTAGTGACGTGATTTTTATGTCACTACTTTTGTGACGTGATAATCACATGGCAAATAAAATACCTTTTATATTGTCCCACCTGCTTTTCCTCCAAAAATGGTAATTCCTATAAAATATGTTGCGACGTGATTTTCACGTCACAACTTTATAACATGAAAATCACGTCGCAAAATAATCTTCCACCCTCTCCCCAACCACATGATCCTTCACGTCGCTAATAATTTATTGTAACGTGATTTTTTAAGTTGTGACAGAACGATACATGATTTCAATTCTATCATCACTACAAACAACCAATACAAATATTTTTGATTCCACAGATTAAAATGTTTTATTTTTCTTTGAAAACCATAGGTTGGATTTCAAGAGTCAATATATACAGGGAATAACAGCATAAAAAGCAATGCTACAATGACCTTCAGGTCCACCACCTTGTCTTTTTATCTTCATGTATCCATCCACACCCCAATTTTTACCCCAAGAATTCTTAATCAACCAATATTTCAATCCTGTTACAGTTGTTCCATAACCAACTATAGTAACCCCGTGGTCTAGAGAGGTTCCGCATGATCCTGAATAAACCCCTCCGCTGTATTTAAAAAAGTCATCCCCAACAGAGATACCAACTGCCACAGGCTCTTCTGCCACGGCTCTTAATAAATTTTCTTCATCATTTCTTTTTAGCCTTATGGCACAAGTTATGTAAGCTTTAGCTTTTGACATATCCATTTTTTGGCATATCCCACGACCTTCTCTGTAGGGATATTGATATTCTTCAAGATACCTCGGTTTGCTTTTATATTATCTAAGCCACTCATAATATCACCACCGATACATCCGTTGCTACCGTTATCGCAATCAATTAGTTGTTGCTCGGACAATGTCAACAGAGTGCCCATTTTTATTTTCCAAAAACCTTCTACGGCCGCCACAGCTGCAAAAGCCCAACAAGCATCTACAATACAAACATTGAATAAATTAATATAATAATTACTAAAAAAACTTAAGTAATAGGGTTATTATACTTACCACATTCTCCTTGTTTCTTAACATGGGTCACCGCTCCTCTCTCTCTCCAATCGATTCTTGATGGAATATTATCGGTACTGATGTTGAACAGTACTTCATTTGATATGGTTTTGGAGGAATAAGCATGGCTTGGAAGTTTGAGTCCAGTGTAGGAAGCCTTAAACTCTTCCGTTGTTAAATCAGAATATGGATTTAAGCCGAGGGTATAGGTCTTATTACCAGCACTATTAAACTTCTCAATATAATCTAAATTCTCTTTGAATATCTGGAAGCGTTTCTGCATTTCGGAACTATTTTTATATGTGATTCCATACTTTGTCATCCATTGCTGATGTGCTTTAATAACAGATGATTCAGACAACATTTGAGACATGCTTGGGTATGCATATGCCCACAAGACCACGATGCAAACAGTAATAAGATGCTTCATATTTTTTATTTATGGATAGAGATTGAAGAGAATGTTTTATGAAAAATAACTCATATAAAATTAAGAAAGATACCACAATTTATAGCATTCAAATTCTACCTTTTAAAAAAAAATCTATTTTTATTTAATTCATCTCATTAAAGTAAGTTTTTAGTAAAAAATCATCATAGTCAACATAAAAATAATAAGTCATCTTAAGAGAATTAGATTTGAGAGAGTATAAATAAATATTTTTAAATATCGTACCCGAGATTAAACAGGTAAGACTATAGATTCAAGGTTTATTTGATTTAATCGATTAAACTTACTATCAAATTACTTTTTAAATAAACTAACAATAAAACTAAATTTTATCGATAAATCACATAATTATATCTTTACAAATAATAAATTAAATGTTTTAAAAATCTATTACAAACTTATATTATAAGATTAATGATAGACATAATTACATATTATAATGATACAATTAAAGAAACAAAACTATAACAATGTTATACCTTATTAATTTGTGTCTTTTCTTTTTGTATTAAAGAATAGTTTTTTTGTGAAAGAAAAAAATATTTTAAATGTTGATGATAATATCATAATTATTTTAATTTTTCATAAAAATATAATAAAATTGGTCATTGACAAGCATTTTTTTAAATCAGACGATTTTACAAAATCGTCTCTGAATCTTTGGCTCTAACGAATTTAAGCGATTCAACCCAACTTTTTTTTAATTTAACTTTAATTTTAATCCACCTGCAATTTTACAAGGACTAAACGGACCAAAACCACCTCCAATTCTCGATCGAATTGATTCAACTCAACAATTCAATTCAGTTTTTAAAACATTCTTACAACTACTTAAAGAATGTTTACAATCCAATAATTTTATTGAAATCAGATGGTATATTTAATTAATATTTTATTTTATATCTCTTATTAATATTTAATTAATATTTTCTTTGACACTAGATATTATCCATTCAATTATTTTAATTAAAGGTTCATATTTACTCATTAAACATTAAATTTATTTTATTTAGCCAATATAATTTATTTCATTTTTCTATATTAATGAAGATTTTTTTTTCTCAAAATGAGATTTTATTTAAAAAAAATTCTATCTCTCTCACTTATTATTTTGTCTCGATATTTAGAATTTCAGATCAAATTATTAATTTATAAATCTTAAATTTAAACTTTTTTAAATTATTCTAATATATATGGTTAAAATATAAATTTCTATTATTATCTCTTTATCTCTCTTTTTATGTTGAAAATTTCTCTCTATCTCCCATTCTTTCTTTATATTAAACCTTTTTGTAATTATAAGTTTATATTTTTAAAGATTTAGTATAATTCTAATTATGAAGATATATTCTTTCTAAAAAAACTAGGGAATATATAATATTAAAAGATTACTTTTTTAACAAATTATATTATTTTACCCTCCTCTTTAAAAAGTTTCAAAAATATGTTCATCAACAACTATTGACTATTATAATAATAATAATAATAATAATAATAATAATAATAATAATAATAATAATAATAATAATAATAATAATAATAATAATAATAATAGTAAGATACTATTTTATTTTATTTTATTTTGGATTGAATAAAATATATTTTTCTTATTTAGGTGTAGCGTAAATATCTTAATAAAAAAATATATGAATTTTAACAATTTAAAACTAGTTTTAATATTTAAATAAAAATATTATTTTTAATAAATTATAATTTTAAAATATTAGTAATCTTTAGGTTATACTATATTTTTGGTCTTTCTATTTTTGCATATCACAAAATCAGTCGTTCTACTCATTTTTTTAAATAGCTTTGGTCTTTGATGTCCATTTTCCGTCTAAAAAAACACTGATGTGATGTACATTACATACTTTATGAACAAAGGACAACATGGAGAGTATTATTTGATGAACGAATAATATGAATGAACAAGTCGAAAGAGAAATAAGTTTTATTTATGATTTTAATGATCAAAGACAAGTTTTATTTATGATTTTAATGATCAAAGCAAACAGATAAGCCCATACAATATTAACTTTCACCTTGGGCAGAGTAAAAGATTTTTGAAAAGATAGATAAAAATAAATTACTTTGAGACATGGATGCAAGAGGGAATATCAATAGTGATCCAGTTCTGGACTCAGACTCCAAACGTCACATAATTCGGCATTTCCTGCTCTTCTTCATCCTCCACAATAGCATCGATTCCAAAAACAGTTGGATAGAGGTAACCTCTGTTGTGGAAAATATCCTGATAGCTGCTCATAGTAGACATTGACTTTAAGGTCTCAGGTTTGCCATTCTTCACTGATAATCCTAAACCATCCCTATTCTTGTTCACCGACGAATCAATAATATTCTCTCATACTTTACTAGGGCCATTGCGCACAACCTATTGAGCATCCTCGAATGAAGCCATAGAATTCTCATTCTCTCTCACGTTATCAATGGACAAAGCTTGGAACTGCGTTCCAACAACAACTTCATCTTCTTCTACAACACTGAAAGATGATAGATGAGAAATTAACTATGCTTTCTCTCCATTTATAATAACCACTTTGCCTTCACGCACGAACTTCGGCTTTTTCTGTAGAGTTGATGTGATCCAGAAAAGGTGTGGACCTATGTGGATAGGCAGATCCACTTCCCCAATAACTGACTTCCTTGATCCATCGAAAGATTTTACAATAATACCACTTGGGCGCATGGGAGTCCCTTGATATTTCAATTTCATCAATGTGCTCTTCGATATAACATTTAAGGCAGACCCATTATCAATCAGCACATTTGATAATGAATCATTTTTACAGTTCATGGATATGTGGAGGGCTAGATTGTGATTCCTCCCTTCGTCAGGCAATTCATCATCATAAAAGCTTAGGTTATTGCAAGATGTAATATTACCTACAACACTACTGAATTGATCTAACGATATATCACACTCCACGAAGGCTTGGACTAACACCCATATTAAAGATTCTCTATGGTCAATAAATTTCATCAACAATGCCAGGATAGATACCTTTGAAGGAGTCTGCAATAGCTGATCTACAATTCTGTAGTAGCTCATTTTGATAATCTTCAAAATATCATCCACATATTTCTCCAGGGTAGCACCACTGGACTCCCCTAAAACTTTCTTATTGTCAACACTTTTCACAACTTTCTTACCAGCATTATCATTCCCCCGAACAACCAGTGCAAATACACGACCACTATGGGTCACACTACCAGTCTCAGCAATATTCTCAATGCTAGACAACGGCTGGATGGGAACTTCCACACTGTGATGCAGTGGGAGAACTGACTTGATTGTTTTGCATTTAATTGCAAATGTTACGGTTTAGCAAGAGTCGCCACCGACTTTTCTTTTATCCAAAAGGAAAGGTGAAAAATCACGGGAAATACCTTTGAGATTGTTTCTTGAGTTCGGGGGATAGATTATGAAAAAGTAAGGTATTAGCACCCTTTTCATCCATGGTTTTCCGTGGGCTCTTAGTTACTTGCTAGATCACTTGCTTTTGTTTGAAATTGTGTTTTGTGTCGTTTTGAATGTATTTTGTTAAAGAGGCCATTGTTTAGGCAATATTTGTAAAGATTCTTTTTTGTAAGAATGTATACAAAGATGTTTGATCTCTTGAAAATATTTTCAATTTTGTAAGATGTTTGGAAATGTGTGTGTTTATTTTGAAAATTGCAAGGATATTTGTTTTGAAATGGAGCAAGTAACTAAAAGTAATCTACCTACTCAAATGTCTTTCTTGTTCATTTTCTTTTCCTTTGATATTGTTGTCTTACCGTTGATTTGGTAAGCAACCCTATCTTTGGATGTAAACGGGACGGGCGTGGGTCATCGTATAGCATTGATTAGCAATATTGTAAAGTATCTTAGCATTTTTGAGGGACTAAGATCATATTTGTAAGGCAACTTTGAATAGCGTCATCGAGGGTCTACGATCTTGTATTTGTTTGTTTTTGCTAAGACACTTTCTTTACATGCGTAATATGGCCATTTTTTATAAGGCAACCAAGTGGAGTAACCCTAGGGGTGCTTGTGTGCAAGTGTGTCATTTTCATGCTTGATTTTATCTTGAATTAGGGTTTTCTATTTGATTGGTTTCATCTTGTCATACAAACCCTAATTACTAGCATGTTATATAAAAGCGATAAATTGCGAAATTTAAAGATTACTACTGTGATACGGTGGCAAAACTGACTTTGGATTTTGTGTTTGTATTCACAAATGTTTCGGTTTAGCAAGAGTCCCCGCCGACTTTTTATTTTATCCTAAGGAAAGGTCAAAAAGCACAGGAAAGACCTTTGAGATGTTTTCTTGAGTTCGGGGAGTATATTATAGAAGGGGAAGGTATTAGCACCCTTTCTATCCATGGTTATCCATGGGCTCTTAGTTACATGTTTAGATCACTTGCTTGGCTTTTCAATTGTTTGAAATGGTGCTTTGTGTGTGATTTGGAAAGATATTTTGAAAAGAGGCCATCATTGTGGCAACCTTTGTAATGATTCTTGTTTGAATGTATACAAAGGTGTTTTTGTCTTTTGAAAAGTTTTCAATGTTTGAAAGTAGGGTTTTGAAATTGTGTTGTGAAGTGTGTTTTTTTGAAAAAATAGCAAGGATGTTTTTTTTGCAAATTTGATCAAGTAACTAAGAGCTATCTACCCTATTTTACTCAAAGATCTTTCTTATGTTTTTAACCCTTTTAACAGTGTTGCTTCACCATTGTATTTGGTGAACAACCTTGTGTTAGGATGTTTTACGGGACAGACGCTGGTCATCGTGTAGACCATGATAGCAATTGTGTCAAGTATTTTTGGCAATTTTTCTTGAGGGACTTGATCATTTTGATTAAGCAACTCAGATAGCGTCATCGAGAGACTATGATCTTTTGTTTTGTTTTTGTTTTGCCAAAGTACTTGACATGCAACCATGGCCCATTTTTGAAGGCAACAAGTGGATGAAA